CTCAAAAGAACGCATGGACAACAACAACGACGACGACGACGAGGAAAAAAAGAAAAAACGCCGCTCGCGTGCTCGAAGGTTGGGCTTGTTCGGGCTCGTAGTGCGCACGTGACCTCTTGGTCGGATGCAGGAGGGGGTAGGGAAAAGATTTGGCTTGCGAAGGCTACGCGGAGGAGCGGCAAGGGTTTCGAGTTCGAGCTCGCCTCCTCTCATCCTCGTTTCGCGCCACTTCAAAAAAAAAAAAACTGTTTTCTTAGTTTTTAATTATCCGATTCAAAAATTTTTTGTGGCAAAATATACCTCATCGGACACCGAACAACTTCCATGGTCTAACTAAAATTTGGTGTGTGGCCTGGCGAGTGGCCCTTTAAGGCGGCTGGAGTGCCGGTGGACTCGTTCTGCTGTCTCCGACTGCCTCTTCGACGGCATCTTTTTCAAACGAGGGGGCCCATCATTAGAGAAGCCGAGTCACCCATACCTGTCGACGAAGGTCGAAGGGGCGGCGACTTCTCAGCAAGTGCCTCGCAAACGAGCACACTTTCTCGGAGAAGGACAATAGCGCGCTTCCGTTGTCGGTTAGTTGAGGAGTCAACGCCTTCTAGTTTTTATTGCTTCTCATCCTCCCCATCTTTTGACGATGCTTACTTTTTTGTACCATCTTTCTCCCCTGTCGGCTCTCCACCGTAGGGTTTCATTGTGAAGAAGTCACACATTTGACAGTTCAAGATCATTTCGAGACGCTCTTCTCTTGCACATTTAGAAGTAAACAGCGGAAAGTGTAGCAGGCAGTCATTGAGCAGACGAAGTTACAGCGAAGCAGAAACCTGTTTCATTTTCCCCTAGTACAATGCCTCGGTTGTTGACGCAAAAAGAGAGTTCTTTATGCAAGTGCGCTACACTGTGTTTTCTCGTAGAGTATGTAGAAAGTGCGTTTAAAAAAAAAAAGAGACAGTGAAACTCGAAGAACCAAGTACATCGTCGAAATATTGAGTTATTCGTGCTATCGAGTGATGGTGACTTGGCCATTTTGTAAGCTGTACGCTAAGTTCGTCCCGTGAAAAGCACAATGCATTTAATTCGCATTGTCGCCAGTTCCTTGTAATGAAAACATCCTTTGGCATTCATGTCTTAAATGGGAATGCATTTCTTAATCTGGCTGTAGGCACCGTTCAGTCGAGTTTTCCAGTCTTACTACAGTGCTAGAATACATAGCGTAGCGGATAAAAAAAGAAACCTTGAGATGGCATCCGCGAAAATGGAGCGCGACGCGAGTGTCTGGCGCCCTGCATCTGTTGGCGGGATTCGTCCACCGCCCTCTCCCATAGCAACAGCTGCGGGCGCACGCGTCCTAAGCAACTGGAGCCCCCACCGTGTCACGCTTCGGCGTCGGCAGCTGTCAGCAACAGCTCCGGGCGCGCGCGCTTATACTATTCTAGCCCCTGTACTTATACTCACCCCTAGTAACCGGAGCCCCCACTTACTTGACTTTAGTGACGTGCCACAGCCTCAATGCAGTGCGTTTGAAACGCGTTTGTAGCGTCTGTGCTGCCAGCGTTTGTGTAGCGTTTGTGTTCATAAGACGCTGACATTAAGGCCTTCAGGTGCAATGACAGGTGAAGTACTTTGCCGCTCCGTCTCTCGCCGTTCGCGCTCTCTCCTACCTGCGCCCAACTTTCTCACTCTCGGCCGTTCGCTGGCTGGGTGCCTCTCGAGAACATCCCAGAAATGTGTGCTCGAGATGCCGCTGTGAAACGCCAACGCCCTGCCGAGAAGGCTATTTGTTTTGTTCACTTCATAGTATTTTTTCAACCGTGTACGCTAGCTACTAGGGCTAGAGATGCATACCGCGTTTCTCGCGATAGAAAAAACGCCACGTGCGGTGAACGGTGCTATTGGCTGCGCGGTGTAAGAAAAAAAAAACATTATTTTTCTAATGCTGGGTTTTCACGTGCGAAACGCCGTTATGAATGCTACGCAATGCATTCGCATTTCCTCACGATTGCCTACGGGGAGGTGGGGGCATTTTTTAACGATCAAAACAGGACTTTTGGGCAACTCGGTGGTCAATGTGTTCTCGGCTCAGTTTCTCGTCGTGCGTAGGAGTGTTTTTCTTTAAATTTTACAATATACTCCTAATTCGTGGTAGGACACGTAAGTCGTGGTAGGACACGTAAAACACGAGCGCATTTCGTGATCGTGTGAAGCGACATTCCTGAAAAGAGCATTACTTGGTAAACATACAGCGCCACAACGACGTCAGCTCGCAGTGTGCATTTCACTCTGCGACGAACTCGTGCGAGCCGCCCCGCTCAAGATATGCGCTCACCTCGCAGACGTCAAAGCGCGCACTCTCGCTGTCATCTTTTGCTAATTTTCCATCATTTAGTAACGTTACGGCATAACACGTTGCGTGCCCCCCTGTTGACCCAGTTTTTTTAACAAAAAAAAAAAAACTGCACGAGATGGCGCTTAGGGGCTGCGTCTGTTAGCGTCTGTCAACGAGCTTGACGTCGGAACGTGCAACAGATGAGCAACTGTTTAAACTCACGGGCGTTGTCGTCTGCAACGGACTACGGGTAGCAGACAGCAGCAGGCACGCTTGCAGCGAGGCCCTCTGCTCGCCCTCGACTAGCAGACGCCGTTGTATTCCCGACAATTCATATCATCTCGCGTATAGTGCTACGCTTGTGTTTCGGTTGCTTGTTGGCAGCGTTCCACTTGACGCCGTGCACACCGCACTTCACGCGAACTCCCGCGGCGGCGCGCGAGATTAATTTGCTCATTTGGGTCAGTTCAGAGGACGCGAGGAAATGAGGTGAACCTGAATGCGCGCGCGCACATACCTCCCTCACAGCGAGGGTCAATTCGGTGATGATTTAGCGTTTCCCGGCGTTCTGTATCCTGTTAAGATAGCGTACCGAGGTCGCGAGTGTTCATCTTATTCATCGCGCAACTATGCAAGACTCGCGTTGTTACCGCTGCATGCAGCCTGCTTTGCCGGCTATGTAAACGAAATAGCCTTTGAAGTCATTAAATGCCTGTTTCTATGCCCATCTCGCAAAAAAAGTATTTGCCAATCTTTCATCACGCAACGCCATAGTTGCTGTGAAAGGAATAAATGACTACCCCCCCCCCCCCCCGCCTGCAAGCACCATGGTCTGTATACTTCGCATTGCTCGTGACCGTCGCTCATGCTCAGGGTCCGTGAATTGAGCTGTAGGTTGAACTGCTGGTATACGTTCTGCGCCAGTGCCCAGTAAACGTTTTCATGACACGAGCGGCCACTGAATGTCGTTACTACAGTGCACTGCTTCTGTCAGGAGGTCTTTCAATGAGCACCCGACCGCGCTGAAGCATTTACACCACTTGGTCGGTTTCATTTTTTGCAACCCTAATTACTTGTTGCAACCAGTTTCGTTTTTGCAACGGAGGATGCAAGACACCCGCGAATTGTGCAGAGCTCGTTAAACGAACATAATCTCGCTGTTGCAGCAGTCGGCAACAGTTCTGCAACAAAATGTTGCGACGTCCTGTGGATGTTGCGCAGTTCTAAATGCCGTCTGCTCCGTTTTGAAATGTCGTCTGCTCGAGCTCACTCACGGCGAGTGGTGTGAGATATCCCGCCAGAATGCATAGAATGTCATTTATTGCAGCTGACCCCGCATGTCATGTTTCTGTGCAAATCCCGTCACCTGTTTGCCCTGCTGAAGAATAAATATTTCTTTTTCTTTTTTTTTTCATATTATCCTTACTTGTTTTGGGTCGCCACCGAAAAATTATGAGTGTATGTATAAAACAAAGTAAAAATAAAAGTTATGGAACCTTTATCTTTTGTGCCACTCGGCAAGTTCACTGAACGTGTAAAATAGTTCCGGCTGTATTGCTCTATACATTCTTTCAATCCACTCAAGTTCGATTCCTACATGATTGTACGCGTCATTACTTATTAATTCTTGGGAGTTTGAGTGCCAAAGCCGCAATGTGGTTATGATTCTCACCGTGCTCTCCGAAAACTGACCACCTCGCCCAGCACAGGGGCCTCTGCATGGCATTTCACCGCAAGGCTAAGTGGCGCAGTTTTTAACCTGGACAAGAGCGATAAGAAGGACACGACACTCGCTACACTCGAAACTAAATTTATTACAGAAAAAATACTTCATGTATATATGCACCCTCGCTAACACCCAACGACACATATATGAAATAACAGGCACTGAAAACTTATCAAGTATCAAATGTTTGAGCACTTAACGATAAAAATAATCGCGGCACGTGTAGAAATGAGTTTAACAATACGTGCTTTTTTACCCACGAAACACAATATGCGCAAACTCGGGCGATAAAAAACGAAGCATGTGCAGCCTAAATGATTCAATAATAACAAAAAATTTAAAATATAGTTCAGTGTAAGACATTCAAGTACAACTCACACGTGCGGAATACGGAAGTCGGTAGCAAGAACCAGTGTTACAGATGCAATCCTACGCACTTTCAAGTATTTCCACGTTGAAAACTGCGCTACTTAACCTTATGGTAAAATGATTGATCACCAACTAGACCAGTTATCAACCTTATTGAGCCTCTGTATAGCATTTCGCATTGATCTAAATGCGACCGTTACGACCGTGATCGTACCCGCGACCTTCGGGTCAGAATTCGAACGCCGTAGCCATTGAGCCACTACAGTGCGTGGTTGTTCCAGTGATTAACATGGCATGTAACAACAAATGCGTGTTTATTGAAAGAATGGTCGTAATGTACCAATATGAATGTCACGCAACGAATTGCCAGATACTGCCTTTCCGCTTAAAAATTCGGTGCCAGAAACACGTTATGTTTCGATTGCGAACTTTGTTTAGCCCTTGTATACGACCTTACAGAGATTATTTCGCTGTTCCAGCTCATATTGTTCGCGACTGTACGCAGCACGTGTTTATGTAAACCAGTTGGTGGCACTACATGCAGATACGTGCCATTTTATCTGAATTTCTGTGTTTCAGAGTGGCATCGACGTGAACAAGCCCAACTCGTCTGAGCAGACAGCGCTGGACCTAGTGCGCACCTTCTCGAGCTCCAAGGCCGCCAGGGACCTCAAGGTGCTGCTCAGAGGTGAGGGCTGGAAAAGTTACGGAGAGTTTTGCACCCTTAAGGGTGTTCAGCGTGTCTATAACTAACACCCTACGATAAGGATGTTTCGACGAACCAAAACACCCATATCCTGAATGTTTTGGCGTTTCAAAACTCCCATGATATCGGTGTCTTAGTTTGCCAAAACTCCCTTATCGTAGGGTGTTAGTCATGGACATGCAAAACACTCCTAAGGGTGCAAATTGATGTACAGCGATGGGCGTCCGGAGGATGGTGCCACCCCTCAGATTTTCGGGTAATTGTTTTTTATGAAGTAGCAATAAGTTTGATTAGCACACTCATGACTCGTATCCATGCAAAATGGTCTTTGGGATCACTAGGCAACTTTGCACGTTGTGCGGTCATTTCACGAAAATTTAGTTACCTGTAGTCAGTGACTCCCTCTCCCTTTCCCTACGCAACCATGTTTGCCGATGTGCAACTCGGGAAAAAATTCTACGAACGCCCTTGCAGAGTGTTATAAATCAATAGGTTTGCCATGTCTGACTCGCAATTTTGTAGTGGTTTGGGCTATATAGTAGTTGGTGGTAAGTCATGACGATTGTCATAGCGCGAGCTCAGAACTACGACAAAGAGGCAGGAAGACGAGAGCTCGTCTTGTCCTTTTGTCGTCGTTCTGAGATCGCCTTACAATAGTCGTCTAAATTCCAGTTTCAAAGGAATGAACCAGCCACAAGTATACGAAGGACAGATGAGAAGAGTGACACGCAAAACGCCTGGCACTCACAATGATCAGTCGTTCTTGTGCCACTTCTCTCTGTGGTCCGCTGATTTTGGGAAGGGTTCATTATTTCCTCAGCCTTAGTGCAGTGAGTTTCCGCCTTCTTCGATATATTTGCAGAGATGCTCCAGGCCCTTCCAGCACGGGCCATTCGGGACCACTACGACCCCAGCGACAGCGAGTGCCTTATGCTGCGCGAAGGTGACATGGTCACGGTGAGTGTGTATATCCGAGCATGCGCACCTGCAGAATTGTAGCGCGGCACTTGTCTGGGCGTCGACTTGTCGTGACATGTAGCGTGTTTCCATGCCGAGTGAAGAAATATATGTCGAGGGCTGGAAGTTCCCTGTTATAGAATAGGTAATCTGGAGGTTTGTGTACCGAGATGTTGGTTGTGGGCATCTATTAAACGAGACCCAACACTTCAGGGTAGGTCATTCACCAGGTAAACTAAATATTGATCGATCGATTCGGTCAATTAATCAATCAATAAATTAATATCTAGTGCTTATTATGGTATTTGCTGGGGTACTTTTTATGAGGCTTTACATACATATACGTCTTAGGCCTCGTGCTGGGAACGTCCCTTCGCATTAATTTTTCTATTTCGGAATTGATACGTCGTACGGATCTTTCATATCGCCGCTCTTAGACATCTACGCAGCCTCCCCAATGTTTGTCTTCCTGTACTCACTGTCTACCTGGGACAACAGAGTTTCCTGAAACTAACTAGAGGGGATTCTGGCACTTCGATCGTTCATCGAGCATGAGAATGATGGGTAGTGCACGGATCTGCCTGGACTTCGTACTTGCTGGTTTCTTTTATTGCTGTGTTTTGGTTTTGTTTCGACGGTGAAAGAACAACCCGTTTTGAACTTTGTGACCCTTGAATCGGATAGCCTAAAAGGTTAAAGCAGTGAAGTACAAGGGCTGAACGTTTGCCGATTGTCGTTTCGTGACAACACAAAGCCACGCGAGGCCAACCGAAGCCGAAGGTACGAAAATTAGGCAAATCCATGCACTTACCATCATTCCCATGCTCGCCGTGCGTTGCAACTCGCACAGACACAGCGCTAAGAGTTCCCTCTAGTGTACTTGTAGGAAACTCTGTGGCTTTGACGTCGACGACACATTTGCAGGTTCTGGAGCAGTGCGAGAGCGGGCGCTGGAAGGGCATCGTGTTCGGGCCGGGACACAGCTCGCGCGCCGGATACTTCCCGGCCACCGCCGTGCAGCTGCTGCACAGGCAGGGTGAGTCATCGCACAGATCGATACGTGCACTGATTAGCGAAGAAGAAGACAGTACTGGCATGTGAGTCGATGACCCACAAGTCCTTTATGTCGTTATTTATCTCGCTCCTTCGCCTTGGCTCTATACGGTAAATATTGAATATATGTAAGAACTTCTATGCCGACTCAACGAGAAGACTTTCTGACCGTTCGTCGGATGCTGTGTCTCGTATGACGAGTCGCTGTCTACATATAGATGTATTGAAGGGAAAACGTTGATGGTGCCGTTAAAGAACGGTAAAGGGGTGCGTAGGCGAAAGCGTATGTTCTTCGCTGATTAAATATTTTGACATGTTTCCCGTCTATTCTTCAGCTTACTTAATTATGTATTTCAGTGTACATTACAGACCCCACGCCAAGCATTGTGTAAGGGGTGGTGGCGTCGGGGCATGATATGACAACTCAAAGAGAGAGAGAGAGAGAAAGATGGACACAGGAAAGGCAAGAATGTGTGCTGTAATATTGCGCTTTTAAACGTGTTACTAATAAGAATATTTCAGAATGAACTGTTCAGTATAGTTAGAAAGAGTTAGTTAGAGAAAAAAAAGTGTCCTTAGTCTTGTGGATGACATATGCATCCAGAAGATTGACTCATTTTGTCGATCTATACGTGATCACCCGAAAGCCAATGTTGCTGCAGGAAACAAAATCGCCAAAGCCAGTGGTTTTAGTTTGACGTATACTGAGCGCTTCAACGTGTGCACTGTGATGCATGACGGGACGCTTCGGCAACTTCAACGGAAAGCGTGGACTACAGTTTCTTCCTGTAATGACAGGGCCAACGCCTCCTCTATAAAATGATGCCTGCGGCGTGAGTCGAAGAGCTGGTTCCCGGCCCTCTCCTGTTTTCTTCTCCTGCGTTCCCCCAAACAGCTGCGAGCGCTCGCGGCGGCGGCCGCTTTAAACCTTGCGGCCTTCGTGATTAAGACAATGTCTACTGCCGTCTCGCAGGCAACACGATCGTCTCTTTGTGATGGCGTCACTTCCGAATCAAGCAGAAGTACTAGTGTCGGCTGCGAGCGCTCCTTCCGGAAAAAGCACTGAAATACGAGGAACCTCCTGTCCCCTTGGAAAAACGTGCGACGTCGCAGGCTTCTTTCTTAAGGGCGCGTTGACATCGGCCAAGGTTAACTTTGCCTGTATGCTGCCTCCAGTAAGCGGATTTGGGCTTTTTTACTCGCCGAGTCGCTCGTAGAATTTTCCAGTTTTTTGGGCTTGTATAATTTTACTAGAAAGTGTACTTAATATAGTGGTCATCATGTCCACCGGCAACGCGTTTTTTTTTCTTCAATAATTACGTGTCTGTCAGTGACTTTATGTAGTTTAACGTTCAAGTCAAACGTACGTTGGGGCAAACGAGCGATGTTAATGATCAAATGGTAAACGTGAATTTCACGGCACGGAGGTGACAGCGGAGAGAGTGTTAAGAAGTAAATATATGTTTTTTTTTCATAGTTGCGTGTATTTTGGCCATACTAAAAGTTTAAACGCGATTTTGTTACTCTAATTGAAAATATTTACAAGTAGGGAAAATTCATTAGGTTTCCTCTTCCTTCTAGCTTTCTCGCGAAGGTCGTGCTTTCACTTTTTTTGTAAGGGGTAAGGGGGGGGGGGAGGTTGTTTTGAGAGGATTGTTTGCTCGCTAACCTGGCACCACCGTGTGGCAACTCTGGTATCTGCACTTACTGTATAGAAAACGTCCCTCACCACGTACGAGATTTACTTAGCTCTCCGAAATGCGCGTTGCGTCAGTATCTCGCGGGGACTGGCGTCAAAAGAGGGTCGTGTAGGGGAGGAAGTGGTCCTTGACGTCACTTCCGGTCGGGGGGGTCACTGGCGCGCGCTGATTGCGAGCGGTGTCGCGATCCTGGCGCGCGCGCGACTTGCGCCAGCTGTTTCCCCACCGCGCCGCGTGTATCGGCGTTCCGGTCGACTCCCGGGACCCCACCGGAAGTTACTTCCTCCCGGGCAGAGCGGTGAATCGGCTCGTTTTTCGCTCCCCCTCCCCTTTTTTCCCCCTTTGTGACGATGTGTTTTCCATCACCTGCGAGGATTCATGATGGTGGATCGGCAAGCTGCGTTCGCGTGCTTGAAAAGACTGTTTCATGCGATCGTGTATGCTTTCTACATAAATTCGGTGCATGTTTGAGCATCTGCGCGTGAACTTCGGCGCGTGCGCGCCCCGCTGTGCAGTCGCGCTGGGAGTCTGGTGATAGTTACTGCGCGAGAACAGAACGACAACACGGAGACAAGAAGGACACGAAATATGCCGATTGTCTCTGTGTCGTCGTTCTGTTCTCGCACTATAACTATCGTCATGTCATACCAACTAGCCCAAGCTGCCACACGTCTAGGGAGTCCGGTGTTGGGTTCACTATTGACGCGCACTTACGACAGCGTGTTCTGTTCTGGCGGCTGCCTAGCATTTAGAAACAGTCGCAGACTGCGACACTCAATACAAAGTACAGGCGGCCATTTTCTTTTTAACCTGAACGCGCGAACGTCGACCGCCCAGTGGATAAGTGGCGAAATGAACGAGGATACGTGCATGCCTGCAACGAACAGCCCTGTGCAGCTGTCTGCTGCTGCGCTGTTCCGGGAACCGGACACACACGCGACAGGCACTTTGAACGTATTCACGCAGAGAAAAAAAAAACGAGTATAGTTACGCTGTAACTATAGTCGTTTTCTTGCGCTGTGCAAATATGCTGAATCCAAATCACCAGCTGTAAGACGTATGCTTGGGCTATAGCCCAAGCATACGTCTTATGAAGGCGCTCACAGACTCGGCTGTCGATGCTCGCGCATTATGGTTACTAAAGAAGAGAGATAGAGTAGGGATGGCGGCCTCATTGTTCAGCGTTCTAGATCTCTATCCAATAAAGGCAATAAGGGCAAGGGCATCGCAAAAGACACCGACTGTTCAAGAATAAACACCCGGCGCTTACTGCCAGCAGCATTGAGGAAGACTATATTTATTTATTTACTTACACGGCTCCTGCGCACCGTAGCTCCTTTATGACGCGCAAGTCGCCATTCTGGTGTGTGTTTTTTGCACCTGACGTCGTCACAGTTAACCACGTTAGTGCGTAAAGTCACGAGCATCCGTAAGTGTGAAGTTTTTTGAGGTCCTGAAGCGAAAGAAAGCGTTGCCAAAAGCCGCGCCAAGTTTATAGTGTAGCGTGGCAACGCGATGGTGTCGGTGCCAGTAGGTGGGCCTCGTGGAAATCGACTTTAAAGGGGCCCTGCAACACTTTTTGAGCATGTTCAGAAAACGCTGCTGTTCGGAAAACGCTGCTGAGAAAATGCTCCCGACAACACGTGGGCGAAATATTGTAGCGCAGCACGTGCACTGGAATCCACAATAAATTATTAAATTAAGCTAAACATTGCTTTCTTTTCTCTCGACAAATTGTAGAAGGCGCTCAAAAGTCACTCGTAAAAAGCCCATCTATCAGCCTTTGGCTAATTTGAACATGGCGCGCTCGGTCGTTACAGAGATTTCCCCGGAGGCCGTGACTTGTACACGCGTGCGCGTGCGATTGCATTGAAAAAGCCGCGCATTCAAAGAAAAAAAAACAGAAAAAAGTGCTCAAGGTGACTAAGCGCGTGACGTATTCTCTTTTCCCCTGCCGTCCCTCCCTGCTTAGCTTCCAGTGCTTTTGTCGGGACGAGAGAAGAGAGAATGAAATTGCGGCGTGAGCAAATCTCTGCAACTCGACTCGAACTGGACGGATGCTTAAAATTTTTTGCCTCGTTGAATTCGCGAGGCAATAAGCTCTCCCAGTGAATTCATTCCATGGTTACTTGAAAAAGTGTTTCAGGGCCCCTTTAGTGCCAACATAAAGGATTTTATCGGCACTTACCGACCTTCAGACTTGCTCAGACCCGTTTGTGCACTTACACAGGAGGCTTGTATGACGGGAGAAGCTAGCTGCGAAATTCCATGTCCGTGTCGTCCCTTTATTGTGTACCGCACGCCCGTTAACGTATGTGGTGTTACTTATCTAGTGTGCTATGTGCGTCCTCAAAAGGTTCTGTCGTGTGCTCATTGATCGCGCGTTGCTGCGAGTTGGAGAATCGTAAATCTTCTGGCGTACATTTGAGCAGCAGAACAACTGAACGCCTAATCCCCTGAACACAGCGTGCGCCTACTTCTGCATGCAGTCGCCGTGGGCTTGTCGGTGAATGACAACCCAACTCTCGTCGTATCTCCGTTCCTTATCCGTTTTCGCATGCTCGCCTATTTCAGCGGTATTGCAAGTGTATTGCATTCAGCGTGGTAGTATCTGTGCGCCTACGTAGGGCGAAGGGTCGACTGGGTGGAGATTGTGGTTATAAAAGGGAAAAGTGGAGAAAAGTGAGCCCTGTAACTCTCTGCATCTGGTGCGACACCTCAACAGTAGCTCACAAGGGATGGAGGTAAAGAGGGATTAAAAGGATTTCATTTCATTTTCATGTTATTTCCTTAAAGACCCGCGAGGGGGTATTACATAAGGGGTGGGAAATTATAAACACAAAACATAGAAGCCAGAGATTTAACATAAAAGTGATTATTGATATTTTCTATGAACGATGATGGGCAGAGAATGGTTGCAATTTCACTGGAAAGGCCGTTCCAGTCTGGTGCGGTACGTGGGAAAAACGAGGCAGAAAAAGTAGAAGTCCGGGAGCGTGGCCGAGCAACTTGAAGCAAATGGCTCGTGTGGTGAGATATGCGTGTTGCAGGAACGATATAAGGTGGGGCATGCAAGGGACTATGAAAAAGTTTGTGGAACAATGACAGGCTGGCTATACGACGGCGAAGTTCTAGATCTGGTAAACCAGATTCTGCTTTCAATCCAGATACGCTGACAGTTGAAGAGTATGAACAGTGAATAAATCTAGCGGCCCGGTTTTGGAGCGATTCGATGGCATGTGTAAGATAAGATTGTCGAGGGTCCCAAATTGGCGATGCGTAT